GAAGAAGAAGAAGAAGAAGAAGAAGAAGAAGAAGAAGAAGAAGAAGAAGAAGGATGATGATGATGATGATGATGATGATGATGATGATGAACAACAGCACTAACAATAATAATAACAATAGCATCAAGTTGCTCCAAACAATTCGAAGGGATAGGCTGCCACACACAACAGCATAAAAAAGACACGATACCGCTTATTATAATAAAGGGCGAGCACTAACGACAACGACATTAAAAACAGCAAAAATCTTCAAAAAGAACACCCCCTCCTCCCGTTAGAAAAATCAAATTCCAATAGAAAAAGCAACAAAACACAAACACAAACACTTCCACCACCACCAAACAAAAAAACACATTCAAACTACTAATTTCTAGTACAGAGCAATTAAACTCCCTCACCTGTACATCAAAGGGAAAGTCATCGAGCTCCAAGTTCTCCATAAATGTGCCCTTGACAGTTCGCTTTTCCGACATGAAAGCCTCTCCCTTCTCGTTGAAGATTAGCCGGTATCGGAACATCTCTTTTGGGTCGCCGTACGAGTTTTCGATATACAGTTTGGGGTTCCAGTACTTTTTTATGTCAGTAATGTCGCCACTCTGAGGGTAAGACAGAGGGACGGAGTTTGAGGTTTAGTCACAGTGTCGAGGTTCTGGAGGAGCTATGTATGACAACAGAAATGTGGTTTCTTTCGAGACGTTAGAATTCCATGGAAGGAAAAGAAATCAAACGATGAATTACTGGATTAAGCCCGCGTGGGCTGCTCCCTAATAAGAACAATTAGGATCCAGCTAATGCAGTGTCTAGGACACTTGAAAAGACATAAAGGTATTGAACTCCTTGCTCGTGCTGGAAAAATAGAAGGCAAACGAGGCAATAGTTGACTCAGAGAAATTCTGAAACCCTGAACAGATTGGGATTGGGGATAGTCAAGTGGTGATGTAATATACGTTTTAGAGCACCAGGACGGATACATGAATGCAGGACCATGTATGTTTCAGATCTGGCCCTCTATGATCATTATGTATGCATGAAGTGTAGTAAAATCGCAGTTCTAGGAACTGGGCAACATCAATTGTCATTGAAGAGATTGCAGACTGCATAAAATCAATATGTTCATCTATACTGCATTGCATTAACAAAAAAATAAACAGAAACACACACACACACACACGCACACACACACACACACACACACACACACACACACACACACACACACACACACTAAATCACACACAAACACACACAAAATCACTCACTAAATCACATACAAACACACTCACACACACACACACACACACACACACATCCCCATCTGCATTGTCCGGCCCTTCAGGCAAATTGTACGCTTTTAATTCTTTTATTAATTTACATTTTTTGCTCCTTTTGGCGAGAGAGGGTGGGGGTGGGGGGAGGCTCAACACCTTCTATGCCCACTTCAAAACACACTTCTGTGTGGACTTTACTGGAAATAGTTGATTTGATCACCCCCAATGTAACTTTTCGGCCTCAAAAGACACTCAAGCCAACCCCTTGCCCCCAATATCAATTCCGCCGTTTACGAAGGAGCTTTGACGTGACTAGACTTTGGAGGCCATCTCCTTGCTAATTTTATCTCTGACAAAAAGCGACCTCTCACTTCCTTCAATAGCAAATATTTCGACTTCTTTACAAGGTAGATGGCTAAAGGAAGATAAATAATCATGCTTTAAGTTGATACCAATAGCTCCATAATAATATTATGCTCAAAGATTGACGAGCACCTGATTCTACCAAATCGGGACACTGTTTATCTCTTTCGCTAACCTCATTATTTTGAGTTCAGTTTCAATTTCGGTGACATGTTTGAAACAGCGAGATATTCGTTTGCGTGCGCTCGTGCGTCTCCCCCCTCCTCTCTCTCTCTCTCTCTCTCTCTCTCTCTCTCTCTCTCTCTCACACACACACACACACACACACACACACACACACACACACACACACACGCAAACGCACACGCGCGCGCGCGCGCAAACAAAATTCAAAAACAAAACCAAGACCGACAGAAGACAGGTGCAGTTGAATGCATTCCTATTCATAAGTCATATACAAGGAGGGAAGGGAAAGATAAAGATCCGGCGGGACCCTCATCTTATCCTCTGCTCTCTGTGGTCCTACTACCCTCATCGGTTCAACTGCGGCACCTGTAATGAGTCTGATTATTTTTTTTTAAAATGATGCTTTAAATTCGGATTCGCCTTTTCTCTGCTCTGCGATTTTGAGACTGTTTAATACGTTTGCAGTTTTTGCGTTGGTTCTTCTACTGATGATGAAAACTTTGTTACTACTAATTGATGCTTCAAAGTACGATGTTTGCCTGATCACATAGATAAAAACTGTTCTTTGGATGTTACATCTCTATCAGTTTTGGCAATTATATTTAAATTTATATTCACCGAGAAATAAAAAAAATAAAAAATAAAAACCAACCGAATAAAACGATCATGATATCTACTCTATGTGTGGATACGGTATTTGTTAATGGCAGGGGTATTCCCACCAGCTGTTACTGCTGGCCAGGTTGATGAGTGATTGCGATGTATGCTGCTGCTGCCGCTCTGGTCTTCCATTGTCATGTCATGTTATGCAGTTGCTAGATGGGCGAGCTACTAGTGGAAGAGGATAAAGACTTACTCTTAAGTTTGTGTGATCGTTTCTGAAATCTGTGATCCGCTGAATGTCTGCAATGAACACTACATGTGCCTTGTGTTCGGAATTTTATTTTCTATTCTTAGGTGTTTATTATAGTTAATAAAGATTTGAGTGTGGAGTAAGCGATGAGTGTGCTTTATTTTAATTGAAGTCTGTGATACGCCAAAGATTGTAAACTATAAGACCCAAAATGAAACGAAGAAAAAAAAAACGCGTCTTCTGCGATCAAAGATCCATAACATTGATGATGTTGTCATTGTCACTGACGACAATGGTATAATATTTCGCTTTCCTTTAATTAACCGCAGTGTTTCTATATTTTGGTTTGTTATTATTTTCTTTTCTTTTTCTTTTGTTTGCATCGTCGTTGGTCCTTTTATCTTTATATCTATAAGAAGCTTATATTATTTACATCTGTGTTTGTGTAAATGTGTGCGCGTGTGAATCTGTGTGTACATGTATGAAGACTATTTGGCGTCTAACAAAGAAAAAGAAATAATTGAAAACAGGTGAAATGGCTTTGATATAGTCTGCCTTCGAAATCATGTGAGGAATACAGAAACACATTTTAACTTATCATTTTGATCAGTCAGTCACACAACCTCATACACTAATTAAATAGAGACTATCACACTGGTAAACACACACATTTTCATAAACGCTCTTTAATAGGAATCACCAACTCTTCTAAAACATTTCTAATTAGTAAATAATTATTACAATAACAACAATGATCAACGTAAAAATTCCAGAGTCCTCGAAATGCATAGCTGGGTTCGAAACCAGGAGAAGGGAGATTACTTCTGGGTCGGAGGAGGAAGGAGAGAAGGTGGTAGTCCAGGGATGAAATGGGTTGAGGGTTAGTAAGTTTGCTTCGTCCTTCCCTTCTGACTGTTTCTAGAATTGGCGAGCTTGTCTAGGACATCAAACTGGGAACAATAAAAACAAAACAAAGACGGTTAGGTTGACAACAAGAAGTGAGGAATGTGGCAGGCAAATGACAAGGGTGAGGAAACGTGTTATGTAATATTCTTTACATGTTAACCATAAACCTGTATTATGATTTCCTATGTCGTGCACTTTGATGTAATTCCGTTCCTGTATGGACCATGCCATTTGAATCAATTCGGAGTCAAATTTAAAGATGGGTAAAAAGACTTTTAAAAAGGGAAAGGGGGGGGGAGATGTACGTAATCGCCTATAGCGAGACTGGTGTTTTCCCCTACATTTGGGAACCTATGTTGAGCACGCTTCACAAAGAGATTTTTATATAAAGCAAAGTAAGCGATGACAATGAGTGCACAGGCACGGTTTAGAATATAATTCAAATACATGGTGTTGGCAGATACACAGCTCAATGCAGTCAGTCCTCTCAGTTCGCAGAATCTGCATGTATAATGATACCAGGAGATTAAAAGTTATGGTTGATGAATGAAGAGTAGAGAAAAGACAACTACGTGCAGTTTATTTTTTATTTACTAGCACACATCGCTATTTCAATCTTCCAGAACCTTGTCAAAATGTGGTTCTTGAATCCATGACAGTCGTTCTGAATTTTTTTATTTTTTTGGGGGTAGGAGTAACATATGTTTAAAAGCCGCGGAATTTACTTGGAAAACGGTAGGCAGAAATTCTTTCCGAAACTGAATAAATAGTTGGAGGCACTTGGAGGGTGCTAAAAATAAGTGAGTTTAAAAAATTTCTTTTAGAATGAACATTTGCCATCGAAAAGTTCAAAATCACTATTTTGAATTTTATGTACAAAATGTGTATGCTTACATGGTCGCTCCTTTCCTGATATAGTTTCTAAAGGCCCAGTAAAATAGTTACGTTCTTTATTATATATTCATTTTAATTATCATCATCCCCATCATCATCAAAATTGCTTTTCTCATCCTGGATCAGGATATGGGCCATGAACAAACACTTCCCACCCTTCCCTATCGTGGGCTAGCCTCTTGATGTTATCCCATGTTTTCCCACCTTTCTGTACATCAATGAAATTTTGTGACTCTTCTCCAGGTTCCACTTGGTATTTCAAATGGGAGATCTTTATACCCCAACTTTAAGAATATTCATAGCTCAATTCTTGATCCTATTCTAGTTCAGCATCTTTAGGGTGATCCCATCTGTGCGTATACTGCAAGGACCAACTGAAACACTGAACTTAAAGTTAGAAAAACGAAGTGGGAGTAAAATCGTAATGAAGGAACACATGCAGTTAAAAGGATAAGTGTGTGTGTGTGTAGATGGGGAGGGGGGAGTTAGTGGGATCACAGAACAAAAGTCATGAGATGTCGGGTATTAGTGACATTCAAATCAAACCTTTCATGAAGCCCTACATCGATTTTCCCCCTTTTTTCCCAAAAGAAAGGGGATGAGGGTGTTCTTGTTCATGGAGCACCCACATAAGGAAACATTTCAACACGCCCAGCTCTTGTCCGTGGGGCATCTGTATTATCTCATTTCTTTAGTGGAAGGAAGTATGGGGGCGAGACATTTCATTTTGTACGGTGCATTCTCCTTCACTACAGAAATACGTCATTTTGAAGAAGGGGTCCAAGCACTAGGGGAGTCAAAGATGACCATTTTTAGCAAAATCTGATCCTCCTCCTGCACATCACCTCCAAAGATAGCTACGCAGAAGTATAGTATACATGTACATGTATACAGAAATATAGATGCCACCTTTAAGCAGGTGAGGAAATGGCTTAGGAGAAACACTCAACCAGTCTCCTGTTATTGTTGTTGTTTTGCTTGTTGTTGTTTTTTGGGGGGTGAGGGTTGTTTTGTTTCTTTTGTGATAGGTGGCTCGCTATTCATATCCTCCTGTCCGCTTGGCTTGGCTTCTGATTTGACAACACCAGAGGACCCTGGCGTCTGTCCCCCTTGCTCTTTATCTTGACATGGCAGCTCTTACCTTGTCGTGCTCTCGATCTTTCTGAGACATTATACGTCGTTTTTTACACGGCTGGGGAAAAAGAATACATTTGAGGTTAAGCATAAGCAATGAGTATTGTTTTCTGTTGTGTCATAATCTGACGTCACATTTAATACATTACAAGTCATGTCGACAGCATTTGCGCTTGGTCTCACTCCTAAACTCTTAAACGAAAGGAATATTCCAGAAAGATCTAAAATAATCAGACTTGTTAATAAATTCTGAACCGACAGCATGAGGTACTGTATTTAAAAGAAAAATAAAATACCCCCCCCCCCCAAAAAAAAAAAAACGAAAAAAAGAAAACTTCATTAATGTAGGCCATTTTATCAGAGTCGGTAAGATTTTGTTTAAATGTAGTTCTTTACAGGGAATCCTCTCCCATTTTAAAGAAGTTGTAAGATATACTTTCAGTGGCTCTGAAATTTGGGGGTCAGAACATGAGAGCAACTTTCAAGAAAGTTAAACTTTGATGAGAATAGAATCTATATGAACAAAAAATCACCCCCTCCCCTTTTTAATCACATTCTTGCAATAGCATTAAAGTACCGCTGTGCATGGCGTTTGCCTAGATGGTTCCAGACAACAGCTATTAAATCATCAACACATTATTTGGAAACATCGTTTGCATTAAGTTGAATTAAAATATGTTATGCTTTGAATCGACTTAATTTACACAAATTGTGGGATAGGCTGCTCCAACCCTGACTGTCGATGACAGCCCATGCTGAGTGAGAAACAATACAGTACAAACAGCGAGATATTCGATAAAATCTGACTTATGGAATCCAACTCACGTCTTTTACATGCTACGACCACAGACGCCGGCGGACATTATTCACAACCTGTTGCCCTCCCCCTAAAATACTTAAACCAAGCAACAACAACAACAACAACAACAACAACAACAACAACAACAACAACAACAACAACAACAACAACAACAACAACGTCAAAATTGAGCACAAAGAAATAACAGACTGATGTAAACTCACAAAAAGATAGATCATGATGCAAAAGCCGATGTTGTAGAGTAAGTAGACAACCCCGAGACAGCCCAACACAATTGTCTCGATGTAGTCCGCCGAGTCTCGGTTTGAGGTCAAGGTCGTGACGATGGCGTGCCATGTACAGACAGCCGACAACATGATCATGGAGGCCAGCAGATACTTGTCCTGGGGCAACAAGGCGAAGGGTTAATTGCAATTTTAGGCTATGGTATAATAACATGTCGCAACCCTAGATTTACAAACTTCTATCTGCTCAGTACAAAGTTATGAGAAATTCGACGTTAAACATTTTGAGTTTCGCATGATGTCGAGCTTTTTCGAATTCAATTCTTTGAACATATCGACAACGACTTCGATATAATCTTCGACTTTAATAGAACAGGCAGAACATTTGGTTTCTAACCTGATGGTCTTAGTAACTCAAAAAGGCCACAAATGTGAGACTGAACTTTGTAATTCTGAGGGAGCGATGCTTTACGGGCCCATCGACACAAAACTGATCTCGGCAAAACATCATTCCCCGTTGTAGTCGTTTCTTTAGTCAGAATGAATAAGTCTATGTATGCTCAGAGAATACCACCAATCTCCCCAAAAGGGGTGGGGTACTTGGGGGTTCCAAAAGGTTCGTAAATCAATATCGATATTCTGGAATATATCACATAGATATTGATTACTACAGATACGATTTACACCTTTAACACATCCAGGCAAAGCACTTGCATAATAGAATGTATTGATTACAATTACTTCACAATGTAACTTGGATTGTCATGGAATATTTTCATCGAATACCGGCTTACCAGAAGGCTGGAAATAATTCATAGAGTTCATTACATGATATAATACTTTTAACAATTAAATAATATGTAACAAGGATGCTGTATAATGAAATAAAGAATAGTATCACAAATATCAAAATTTATAAAAGTGATATTTAGTGTATAAACTCCAGTATTCAAAACAGCATAATCACTCGCTTCAAACTAAGAACATGTTGATCATCGTTTACATCTAATACGACTCACCATGTATGTTAAGTAAGATATTCTGGGTAATGATTGATTGACAACCGACTTGAAGGCCACTGCAGTCAGTACCAAAGTGAAGGACAACTGTAGTCGGTTCTGGGGATGCTTTTTGTCCACAGAGAACGTTGCGAAGGACAGGCTGCATATGAGGAACTGGAAACGAATGGTTTGAAAAAGTTGTAAATGCTTCTACGTTCCTGTCAATAACATTTTTAAAGAAACCAGGTTCACAACGGACGTCAAGTGTCAAGTAAGGAATGTAACACGCATTTTAAAAAAAATGTTTTGTTTGGAATCTTACTTTCAGAAAGATTGGGTAACTTAAAATCAAAAGAGGGTGCTGCACTACCGCGATCAGCTATGGTATGTTTGTGAAAGTGTAGATGTATCAAATAATTAGAAACTGTTTTAAAGCAATATGATGAGACTTTGACATCCTTCTAATTGTTTAACATACAACATGCCCCCCCCCCCTGCCCTCAAACAAATGAAATAAAAACAAAAATGAAAACAAAAACAAAAAAGCAAAAAAACTTATCTTTCCTTGTTCGTTTTCTTACCGTAACCATGAAAATGTTCCAGATGAAATAGCCCGGTCTCCTGGCCGCCCGACATTTGACGGAGATAGCCGAGCGCCGAGCGTTGGGATCAAACTGGTCTATCATGAGTTCTCTCCGGATGCACTCAGTGTGGGCATAAAGGTGCCACTCCTGCTCGTCAACGAACGATTGTTTGTTGACCATGTGTCTGTTCTCGTAGTCCTCCACAATTTCCACCTCGTTGGCGGGAAACTCCGAAGCTACTGTTACTGTCAGGTCCTAGGGAACAAAAAGGGAAGGGGGTGGTGGTTGGGGGGAGAGGTAAAGGGAGGATGAGTTATCATCATCATCATCATCATCATCATCATCATCATCATCATCATCATCATCATCATCATCATCATCATCA